ATGAATTTTCACTCAAGCCAATATCAAATGTTATGCCGGTCCAAATTATCAATGGCATAATTTCAAGGTGCACAATTATCTGTCACGTTTTGACGATGGTAACCATCTGGTTAGAAAAGATCGTGATGGAAGTTGATCTTAGAATCTTGACGGTATACAACCGCTGAAACATGCCATCTCTATCAGTGGCTATGGAAATCTAACAACCCGTTTTTATTTTTGACAACGGAGAAGCTGTTTTCAAAACCACTGCTTTTGCAATGCTTTCAATTCCTCCGTATCTAGTTATGACGGAGTTCACCAAAACCACCGGGACGGATACAACGATAACCAAAACTATCCCAAGTAGTTCAATGAAACCCACCGATGAAGGTGAGTGTTAATTGCCTCTATTCCTTTTTGTAAACTATCGAACGATAAGCTGTACAGGAAACTCCCGTCATCAGCAAAATCTCTATTCTGCAATCGTGGAATCAAATTGCGTCAACCGGACGGCAGAAGCTGAAGGCAGTATTTACTGAGAAATCGCATCAAACAGACCTTATAATAAATTTGTTCCCCGTGCTTCCCTGCTCTACATTTTCCAAACTATTTTATTGACTGTCGGTTACTTAACTTCATTCCAACCGCATCAGCTGCGCGTGGTTTTACTGCTTTGTCTTACGGTTAATTTTCTATGGCGCTGCTCGACTAGGTAAAGCTACTCAGAATTTTTCTCAATAGGCAATGCAAAGTCAAGCTTCCATTTGAATTCAGAATCAAAAACCTGGTGCTCGTACATTTGTATTATACTACTAAAGATTAATCGTTTATTTTGCTTCAACTCGCATTCGGACGTACGTCTTCTATTTTTCTGTGTTATCCAACTGAAATTTTACGAATCTGAATAACGTAATATTCCGTTAACTTTTCCCGAACTTTTCTCATTTGAAGCATTATAACTGCATTACATCTTTACTGAATAGGAAGAACTCTTTTTCTAAACACTTCTTTAGATTTAGCATCCACATATTATGTTAACTTATACGCCTAAATTTCTAAATGGACTTATAAATCATTCAGCTACTTGCCAATTCCGGATGTCTGCTACGTTATTAATTTTTCCTATTAGGAATGTTAATTCATGAAAAAGTCGTAGCTCAGTTGTTGTGGAACAATCATTATGGCGCCAAGTATTGCATTTTGGATTTGTTGGTTAATTGGTATTAAGGCTTTTGCAAAAGAAGTTCACTACCCATATTATTCAAGTTATCATCGATGAGATTTGCTTCCTTGGATCAATATAACCTACGTACATATGCCCTTCAAACAAAGAGCAAAAAAGCACTGCGAAGACGCCTGGCGTATATATTGCTATGATTTCTGGAAATTTGTAACATCATCGCGTCTGAGCAGCACGGTTTCCGCTGACAGCGCTCATGTACGATGATGTTGCTAATCGCACACGCTAGTTAGACCGAGTCATCTAAGGCCGCAGATGGACTAATTTTGACCTACCGTTATTTCTGGAAAGCTTTCGATCGTCTCGAACTTCAGATAATACTCCCCAAGCCCCAGCGTTCCGAGAACGCAGATCACATTTCAGCTGGATTGCAAACTTGCTACTTTAACGGGAATTGGTGTTCAGATGTCGGAGCTCTATATCGGACCCCATACAAGTAGAGTGTGGTATGCAGCAAGACTCACTGCTACTCCCACGTTCGTTTTTGGTGTTTATTTATGACCTTGCAGGCAATCGATTCAAACTTCCTAATGTTTGCCGACGATATCAACATCTGGCGCATGATTCAGACGAACGCCGACCAGCATCTGCTTCAGGGTGACCTAGATACGGTGTTTCGTTGGTCAACCCAAAACTTACCGCAATTCAACTTCAGTAAACGCAAGGTACCTTCCATCCGACATCAGAGTAGGTACTCAGACCGGCACGAAACAAACGTCCTGAAACAATCAGCTGTCGAACGGGACTTGGTTGTCCAAGTTCTAAAGGACATGGGTTGCTCCAGACCATCCAAAGTGGCCGCAAAGACTGGGATCTAACACGCCGGCTAATGCGACGGGCGTCTGGACAAATACACAGCTCCATAGTTCCACAAATGTTCAGTGTGTATATATGCCCCATGTGGAATACACAATGCAAGCCTGGTATCCATGGCTGAAACACGACCTTAATGCACTGGAAATGCAACCACTTCGGGCATTTAAGAACTAACTTGGGTGATTGTGCATAGCGATCAATCGAACGCCGTATGGCAGTTCGTGAAACGTGTGCGAATGTACACCCAGCAGTAGGTGTTATACGCAGTAGCGAACCGGAAAGAATGACGGTTTGCTTGCGAAAAATATTGCTCCAATTGAATAAGTCTCAAGTAATGCATATTTCAAGAAAAAAAATAATGCGGGAAGCCTAGACGACACATTAACAATTTCGAGTAATTTAAAACAGTTAGTTCCCTTTAGTAACTTGAAAAGCACAAGTAGAAGACGAAGTTCGGCAGATGCATGCATTTCGTATCGTCTCATCAGTGCCGATAACGATAAGCGGTAAATTTGTACAACAGTTTGTGGGTATAGACATCCATATAAAAAAACGCGAGAAAAAGGTGTCTTTCGTCTACAACCAGGGTAGCCTGAGGCTGATCGATAATTGTTTTTGAACACAAAGCACTGGCCTAATCCGACTAATGGCAATCGCCTCGGCAAACCGGAGGAGCCGGGAATTAGTATGGCGAAGCAGGATTGTGAACGCCTTGTTGACCTCAATTCGATGACCTGTTGTTAATAAGTGCCTGCCGATCGAAGATGCTGCCGGCCTGCGTATACACGTAGTCTGATTTGGGCTTGCTTGCTGACTAAGCGCGCATTGAACCCATTTTGGTACGTGCTCCTTTATTCGGGAACTCAGTGTTCTATTGGTTCTGCCTATGTAACTATCCCCGCAGTTACATACGAATTGATATACACAATGGGAGTTGGCGCCAATAGGCTGAGTTTCCTTCAGTGGAGGCAACGGTAGCTTAAGGGGTTCGGTCAAGGATTACAACTTCGGCAGCACAGAAAGTGCTCTGTGTGGCGGAAATCAGACGTCTTCTAGTCCTCAAAGAAGCAATGTCACCCTTAAAGGGCAGCTCTAAGAATACCTTTTTCTTAGGCACAGTAGGTAGAGCAACTTTCTTTTCACGGATTTCGCTGTGCTTTCGGATAAAGTTTCGAGGGTAGCCGTTAGCAATTAACTTGTTGGTAATTAGTTCTATTTCATCGGCTAGACAATCGGTCGAACATATTCGTCTGGCGCGACTAAACAAGGTCTTCACGAGCGTTCGCTTGTGCCGAATTGGCGTAAAGCTGCTAAAATGCAGATACTGTCCCGACCACGTTGCTTTTCGATAGACAGACCTTTTTACCATTCCGTTATCCCTGCGGCTGATACGAACATCCAAATATGGAAGACAGTTCTGTTGTTCGACTTCGCAGGAAACCCTCAAATTGACATGCGATGAGTTAAAACGCGCCACTAGCTCTGCGATCTGCATTTCTGTCGAACTGAACACCAAGATATCGTCCACGTAACTGAGTTCCCGAATAAAGGAGCACGTACCAAAATGGGTTCAATGCGGGCTTAGTCAGCAACCAAACCCAGATCCGACTACATGTGTACGCAGGCCGCCAGCATCTTCGATCGGCAGGCACTTATTAACAACAGGTCATCGAATTGAGGTCAACAAGGCGTTCACAATCCTGCTTCGCCATACTAATTCCCGGCTCCTCCGGTTTGCCGAGGCGATTGCCATTAGTCGGATTAGGCCAGTGCTTTGTGTTCAAAAACAATTATCGATCAGCCTCAGGCTACCCTGGTTGTAGACGAAAGACACCATTTTCTCGCGTTTTTTTATATGGATGTCTATACCTACAAACTGTTGTACAAATTTACCGCTTATCGTTATCGGCACTGATGAGACGATACGAAATGCATGCATCTGCCGAACTTCGTCTTCTACTTGTGCTTTTCAAATTTCGAGTAAATTTGAAAAAGCAAGATGAATGAGGATATTTAAAAAGTACTTCAAAAAACAAAGAGAGAAATTATAAAAAGCTTTTCAACAATCAAGCGACAAAATACAAAGCGTTAAAAAAGGAGAAACCTTTCAACTAGACAAATTGCAGTACAGGTTAAAAGGGACGATAGAAAGGAGGGAACCAGCAGAAGAATGCATAATCATATCTGTCGGATTGTAAAAGTTTAGCGCTGATTTCACCCAAAATCTAACGTATGTAACAATTAAAATGAACTCAGATAAACCAAACCTCTAACTGGTTTTATCACCAAACAAAGGTTAGAACATTGGTTAAATTTAGAGTTTATCTCAGCAAAACATAATAAACAGCATGGGGGAAATCTGTTTCCCGCAGAAGTTAAACCTTTGCTTTCTCTTATTGTAAGCTGCACCGAAATGTTTTGCTTGTGTACTTTTCTATACTACCCTTACCATTTTCCATACTAATACCGTCATGGCAACCATAATGAGCGTCAAATGGAACCGCACCTCATCGACATGAATTATGTGCTTTACCAGAGAGCACTTGGCACCGAATTACCATAAATTTTATTAGGTACACACTACTTCACAAGCATTTTGGATAGGAGTACGTAACTAGTTAACTAACTGAATGCATAAACTATCCTACAACTTATTTAGATTAATATGCAAAACCACCGGCATTTTCATTAAAGCCAGTAGCAGATATCAGGCCAGTCATTATTATCAATGGCATTAGTTGAAGATGCACAATTATCTGGTACATTTCGGCAACAACAACTATCAGCTTGAAAAAGCTTTTTGTAAACGATGTATTCCAAATCATGACTACAAGCAGCCGCTGAAACTTTTCATCTTTACCATGAGTTCTAGGAAGCCTAGCAGCCCACATTTATTTTGGCATCGAGAGAGTTGTTTTCGAGGCCAATATTACTGCTAGGCATTCAATTCCTCTATATCTAGTTATAACAGAGGACACCACAACCAACGGGACGGGTACAGCGCCAATCAGCACTGCTCCAGTTAGTTCGATGAAACCCACCGATGGAGGTGAGTGTTATTTGATTATATAACTGTAAACAATCGAACGACAAGCTGTAAACCAAACATCCCATGTCAGCAAAATTCACATTCTGAACTCATGAAATCAAACTACAGAAACACAACGGTAGAAGACGAAGGCAGCATTCACTGGGAAATTAGATCAACTTATCTGATATAAATTAGCGCCCTGTGCGTCCCTAATCTATATTCACCAAACTAATTTTATTGTCCGTCAGTCACTAAATTTCTTTTCTTGACAGCATCATCTACCACGCGTACTTTAACTGTTTTTCTCATGGTTAATTGCTTTACTCGTTGTGAGTGCATTGACACCGGCAGACTGGCGAAGCCAACTGTTCTGAATGCCTATCAAATTACGCTGTCATCCGAGTTGAATAAACGTTCACTGGATGCAATTGAAGCTCACTGGTCTCATATTCAACAGGCCTTACTAGCAGCAGGCAAATCCTCATGCGGTATGTCTAATCGCCAACATGGACATTGGGTCTCTTCTCAGTCTCTGGAACTTATCGACGCTCGCCGGCAAATTCCGGCTGGAAGCGAACACAATGAAACTTGCAAAGAGCTCCGAGCAAAACTCCGTGCTAGACTGAAGAGAGACCGCGAATCCTGGTGATTTAGTCGTGCAACAGAGATGGAAATGGTCAATGCCCTTGATAACCATCGTGAGTTATTCTGTCTGGTAAGGAAAACGGGCAGCAGGAGACCTGGTGTTAGTGAAACAATTTTTGATGAGAGTGGGCAGCCTATCCACAACTTGTCAAAACGCTTGGAGCGTTGGGCTGAGCGGTTTGAAAGGCAATTTAATCGGTCGCAATGGTTAGATTTCTCGCCGACCAGTGATCGCCCTGCTCCGTGAGCTGTTCCTTTGGATCCACCCTCTCGCTCAGAAGTCGAACGTGAGATCAAGCTGTTGAAGTTAAATACAGCCGCGGGACCAGATGATCTTCCTCCAGCCCTCTGCAAATTCGGAGGACCTGCGCTTGTGGATAATTAACACGAGTTAATAGTGAAACTGTGGGAGCAGGAGACTGTCCCTACCGACTGGAGCCGCTCCATCATAGTCCCAATTTTCAAAGGAGGCTCACGATCGGACTGCGGCGGCCATAGAGGAATCAGTCTGATCTCCATCGCCTCCAAATTGCTTGCCTGTGTCATCCTTCACAGACTGACTGGCACCCGTGAAAGCCAGATTCGTGAAGAGCAAGCTGGATTTCATCAAGGTCGTGGCTGCATTGACCACATCTTCACATTGCGTCAGTTGTTGGAGCCTTGTCACGCATATTGGCGGCCCACCGTTGTGTTCCTCAAAGTAAAAGGTGCATTCGATTCGGTGGATAGACATGCACTTTGAGACCGTCTACTCAGTAAAGGTGTACCTGAGAAATATGTGAATCTCATCCGAGCATTATATGCGCGTAGCTCAGGCAAAGTGAGGGCTTACGGCAAGTTGTCGTCGCCCTTTAATATCTCCAGCGGCGTGAGACAAGGATGCTTGCTGTCACCTTTCCTCTTCAACTTCGCTGTTGACGAAGCCATGGAAATCGCGTTCACAGGACACGACTTAGAAGGTGTGGATCTGCTCCCAGGAGAACGACTACTCGACTTAGAGAATGCTGATGATATTGCCCTCATCTGTGACAGCTCACAAACGTGCCAAGCGGTACTGGACAGATGGGCACTAGCTCTCCGTCACTTCGGGCCTTGCTTCGCACCCTCGAAGTGCAAAGCGTTCCTCCAAGATTGGTCTGGACCGCCTCCTGCCCTGACTCTTGGTGGGGATCAGTTAGAAATCGTTCAAAAATTCAACTACCTTGGAAGTTGTATCAGCGCCCGTGGGATTGAAGATGAAATTACGAATCGTATAGCAAAAGCTCGGGATGTTTTTACTAACCTTCGCCACTTGTGGCGCCGGCGCGAATTCACTCTTGCCTTGAAGGGTAGAGTGTACAATGCAGCAGTACGTTCGACCCTACTGTGCGGTGGTGAAACCTGACAGCTTAAAGCAGCGGACCTGAAGAGACTAGTTACGTTCGACCACCGGTGCCTTCGTAATTTAATTCACATCTGGTGGGAACACCGCGTGAGCAACGAGCGTGTTCGACTCCTTGTTTATGGCACAGGAAAAGGAACTGAACCGCACAGCACCGTTATTTCACGCATCAGGCTCCGATGGCTCGGCCACGTGTTACGCATGCCTGTTCACCGACTTCGCGACGTGTGTTGTTTGCGCGCCGGGGGTGTGGATGGAAGAAGAGGAGGGGTGGACAAGCAATGACTTTGTCTAGAGGAATGAAAGCCCTCACTTCTGAGCTGGCCTCAGTCGAAGCGTCTTGGCTCCATGGCTGGGGTCCGAAAGACGATGAACACGTTTGGTTGGACACACTTGCTGTTATGGCTAGGAATTGACCTCAGTGGTGTTCGTGCTGTGAGTTTCTTTGTCCCACCCCATCCCTCTTAACCTCCCCCTCCAACCACGATCTCATTATTTAGCCTTATATAATTTTGCATAGTAATATTTTTCTGGTGCACAGCAGCCGACTGATAGCTTACCGGGACGATGCCCATCCGTTACCGGTAGCTCAGCCAGATTGCACCAGTTGCTTTTCCTTTTTCTCCTATTTTTCGCTGTTTTGCGGCACAGTACCTGAGGTGTTCCACACCACTAGCTAACGTGTGTGATGATGATAAGATGATGATGAATCCATGTCGCTGCTCAACTAATTTAATATTCTCAGCATTTTACACAGTAGTATTTACAAAGTTACTTTTCGTTTTGAAATTAAATCCAAAACTTCTATTTTCCCTATTTAGATTTTCTACTATTAAGGTCATCTTTTATATTCTCGTTCCACCTTGAATGTATGCATTGCTTTTTTATGCTGTCTACCTAAAAGTTAGTGTACTCGAAAAAAATAATATTCCTTGCCCCATCTCAAGTTTTCTTTTTGTAAGCGTACTAACTGTGGTACTTATTTAATGAGCAGGATTTGATCGTTTTCGAATTACCCTGTTCAGAGCTAGCATCCACATTTTATGTTACCTTACATGCCAAAATTTTTAAAGCCACTTAATTATCAGTCAGCTAGCTTCTAATTCCTTTTTCTAGTAAATGTATATTTATAGTTTACTAATTTTACTTCTTGCAAACGTACAATCTCTGTGATAGTGGTATAACCGTTTTGGCGCCGATTGTTGGAGTTTGGATTTTTCTTGGTTATCCGCATGGCGACTTTTGCCACAAGATTTTTGTTAACCACAGTTTCTATGTTACAATTAATGAGACTCGCTTCCTTTGTTCGATATTATCCAGGTAATTTTACTGATATAATTGAATCCGGTAAAAATGCCCTGCATGCATGCCAGACGTATTTCTTTGCTGTGATATTTGGAAAATAGAGCGTCATCACGCCTGTGCAGCACAGCTGCCGCCGACAGCTGTCATGTACAACGAATTGACTATTCGCACGCAGTAGTTATATCGAGTCATCATATGGAAACAGAGCAGAATTTAAAAGTTATGTGTTTACACCTGCAATCAAAACGTTGTCGGTTTTCAGTCGTCCAGCAATGCCTACATTAACTAACGCCTTAGCAATAGTGGATAAACATCAGTTAGTTCTCCTGTACTCATACACACTCAGCTAAATGTCTTCGTTCGTAAGTTATGCAACTGGTGAAACCTTGGATAAACCAGTATCTTGCCTCGTAGGTTTTGTTACAAATTGCAACGATGACAATGTCCTAAAATAGACAGTGCAATAACAAATGCTGTCAAATCTGTTATCGGTACTGTCGGATCAGGAAGAGGCTATTAATTATGTATATGAATAAAGTCTATCGGAGCGGGGCTTGCAATATATCTCGCGCGGGGAGTTGCATCAGTGAACAAAAGGTTGTTTATTCCCAAGCTGTTGTCCCCAAAATTGATTGACTGGATTCATCCGTTTCTCTAACGATAAAAACAGGTTTAGGTGTGAAAATACTGATGACTATGCAGAGTTGCCGGTGCTCTCCAAAGAGCTAGATTTGTTGCAAATGTAGTCAGCCGGGTCATTTTGTCTGATCTTGTCTCTCTCGTACTATTTCGCGCGTTGTTTGTCCACAACTGCTACATTGGCTACATTAGCCCTAGGGGAGATTTTATATTTAGAGTTACCAAAATTAAGCACTCAATTCTATTGCCTCTTCATGAAATATCATTACCCTCATCCGATATTTGATGTGTGTTCCATTAACTGTGCTGGCTTGCCAACACTCTAAGCTTACGGAAATCAGTGCACAGATTTCGGAGCTCTATATCGGACCCCATACAAGTAGAGTGTGGTATGCAGCAAGACTCACTGCTACTCCCACGTTCGTTTTTGGTGTTTATTTATGACCTTGCAGGCAATCGATTCAAACTTCCTAATGTTTGCCGACGATATCAACATCTGGCGCATGATTCAGACGAACGCCGACCAGCATCTGCTTCAGGGTGACCTAGATACGGTGTTTCGTTGGTCAACCCAAAACTTACCGCAATTCAACTTCAGTAAACGCAAGGTACCTTCCATCCGACATCAGAGTAGGTACTCAGACCGGCACGAAACAAACGTCCTGAAACAATCAGCTGTCGAACGGGATTTGGATGTCCAGGTTCTAAAGGACATGGGTTGCTCCAGACCATCCAAAGTGGCCGCAAAGACTGGGATCTAACACGCCGGCTAATGCGACGGGCGTCTGGACAAATACACAGCTCCATAGTTCCACAAATGTTCAGTGTGTATATATGCCCCATGTGGAATACACAATGTAAGCCTGGCATCCATGGCTGAAACACGACCTTAATGCACTGGAAAGGCAAGCACTTAGGGCATCTAAGAACCTAATTATTATGCGCATTTTTTCATACCAAGTGATGCTGCAAAGTTTAAGGTTATCCAGTGGAAGCGAGCGCAGACTATGAGGTAACCTAATTATAGTATACTTGATTCTGTGTGACACATCATATATGCCGCCATTTACTGTGACACAGCAATAACACAACCCTGAGTTGCCACAAATGAAACTCGCTGTGCAATATAGCCACTTGGAATGCCACAGGAATTTCTTTACCATTCGTGTCTGTCACCCGTGGAATGCTCTCCAAGAACCTGTCGTCTTTGCACCAACATTAAAAGTATATAAAGATGGTTGCATGACGCATTCATCCACTTACACTTGATCACTTAACACTGCGTCTCCATTCTACGCCTGAAGTTTGCCGTGGAATTAGTTGATGTTAACTGTGGGTGCTGTGAATCTAACTGCACTGCAGGACTACAGCGGAACAAATCATAAGTCCTCATTCTCTTATTTGTTTAACTAACTGTTTTACTGTCATTACTATCCCTATCGTTATTTCGATGTGTCAGCCAACTATCCAACGGGACTTGTAAATCAACGCTTATTATCCTGTATAAATTCAATTTTTCATTGTTCGTTGCACAATCACGAAATCCTGTCCAAAGTTCATCGGCTTTTTTAGGTTATATGCGTTAATGTTTTGCCATGTTTAGCAATTATCTTGCTGTCACCTTATACGCACACATGAATTGTACTATTGCGTTCTTACAGTGATTGTTGTGCGCTTATATTTATTTTCCTTATAAAAGTGCCTATAGGTTTAGTTTTATATGTAACACCTAGTCATTTTTCCATGGCAATGTGTAGTTTAGTCATTATTCATAAGTGTTTGTGCATTCTCTTGTTACATCAAATTCACCTACATATGCATAGTTTGATTGTAATGGTATTGATCCCTGCGCATTCTATTCATGCTAGCGCTTCCCTATGGTGAATTGTCGGATAGATCATTTAGTCAATTCACTTGCTTGCGACGTTTAATGGGATTGATTTTGGAAGTAAGTTGCTTGGAGCAAGCCATGTAGATTTTGAGATCATTGGTGCCACATTGCCCTAAGACAGCAGAAAATACAGGCCGGTTGTTTCGATAGCACAAATCACGCTTAGTAGACAATTACTGTGTATCGCACAGTATAATTATGAATAACAGAAAGTATACGTGATAATACGCTGTAAACTTGAATACCCTGTTTTCCATGTTGGTCTACCGCTTCTCCGTTAGCAACAATGATTATATCGCCTCTCTCGTGTTTTAGCTACCAAAGCTGTGACCAAATGCCCAATCACGTTTCTCGTTGTTATCTTCATTTGTGAGCTGTTAGATCCTTTTAATTAAACGAGATGAACCATTAAATGTGTAATTCGAGAGCCATTAATTTGTACCCCGTGTTTCCTGATGTTCACTTCTGCAACAAATTGACATTTCTTGTGTGTAATCTTTTCTGCTTCTTTGCAATACAAATAAAACGGTTGCATTTGTTGTTTTCTGGTTTTGATAAGACGGGACTTCTGCAACAAACCGAGAGAGGTAGAAAAGAGTAGTTCAGATTTTCGGTTCTGTATTCCCTATCCGGTTTCCGAGTTTTGTGATTTCTGACAGGATATTCATCAACATTAATGTGGGTTGCATGGTATTAGTGTCACAGAATTAATAGACAGGGAGCAATCTGGGATTTGTAAGCCCGAGTTTATCAGAGAATATTGCAGAAATATAACTGTATATTTTAAAGGCGTATAAAACCATTCAGAGGTTGCTGAAGTATAATTTTATTTAGCAGCACAAGAATGTTATACTTGAATTTTTAGTTAAATAGTGTCAATCAGTATTAGGGATTTATTAATTTCTAATGGAAAATCACTTGTCTAAGCGCCATCGGCGGTAATTTTGCGCTCGTCATTATTCAAGCATCAGCATTTAAATTCGGCAAGTCACAAAATGATTAGTTAGTATTTGTAGTTGATAGCTAAACATTAAGCTGAATTTTCAAAAATTAAGTAGAGTATGTCCGACGAAATGAAATGAAAACTGTGCTTAAGTTTAACCCGAATTTAAGGTGCTTTGATGTCCACTCCATTTCGTCCGGCATCAGAAGCCGTAGAAACCGATATTACAGATCCGATACGTAGACGACAGATTTGTCATCATAATGTGGGGGTTCCATACAAATACATGTTACCTAGTTAATAGCAGATTAGAAGATAGCAATTATGTCACCTAACTGGTAAACACCGAAATACTATTCTTGGATTAACTAGTTCAAAGGAAAATGACGGTAAATTCAAACCTGCATACATCAATATAAGACACAAACCAACCACAGAAACTGTTCATCCAAATGCAAGAAGCGAGGTATTCAAGACTTTTCGGATCAGGCGAGACACTGCAGCGCGGCGAAGTTGAGGAAGAAGGTAGATAATCAAATATACTGAATATTGAATACTTTATTATAGAGAAAATAGAAATGAATTATGTACAACTATTACGAATATTCTGAAAAACGCTATAAATTTTGCAACCGCGAATATCGTTCTCGTTCTCATGTAAGGTTTACAATATTTGGCTCACGATATTTCAGGACTCACGAATGTGATTTATCACCGTAAGTGTGCAATCGTTCTTTGAATCGAATATTGGCAAAATATAAATTTGACAACTTTTTGAACTGCTGCACAGATGATGCCTCAAGCAAATGTTCAGGTAAACTGTTCCAAATGTTTACCACTCTCCGTTGAAAACACAGTGGGTGGGGAATGCATTTCACATCCGGCACGAAAACATTGTGTCTGTATCCGCGTGTGCTGCATGGCCCTCGTAAGTGCAGTATTGAGCTTAACATTGGTAACTCACCGAGATATAGAACACAGTAAGTCATAATAAGGTCGAATCGCACCCGACGGTAGGACAAGGTGTAGAGTTCTTGGTTCTCGTACCGGTCTTCATACCACAAGCCACGTAAACTCGGGATGAGCCTGGTAGCAACGTGTTGGACCAGCTCCATCTTTTGTGCCTCGCCTCGGGTAATCGGAAAGTAGGCGGGCGAACCGTACTCTCGTATTGATGGAAGAGAAGAGGTGAGTGGCAACCTCTTCAGACCATGTGCCGAAACTACGTTTGAGTGCCCAAAGCATGCGCAGTCCGGTAGGATACAGCCTGTTCGTGTTGTCCACGGACTTCAAGTTGCAGGGTGAGAGTACACCCAGGTCTTTCACGGAGGGTGTGGGATATAGCGTTCGGCCGCCAAGGGTGTAGGTTCGGCCGTCAGCACCTTTTCGCAGGCTCATAAATACAGACTTGGCTGGTTTGACATGGAGAACTTTTGCATACCATATGGATAGGTGGCTGAGGTCTTGTTGAAGGAGGCAACAGTCATCGGGAGCGTCGATTTTTCTCCAAGTCTTCATGTCGTCCGCAAACCAGAGAAACTGCGACAGATCGTGGATGTGGATCAGGAACAGAGTGGACCCAGCAAAGTGCCTTGAGGCACGCCATTTTTAGAGGGAGACCAGTCAGTTAGATGCTCGTCGACCTGTACCCTCCACTTTCGTCCAACAAGAAAGTCGCGGATCCACCGGTGCAGTGAGCCACTGACACCATACATTCTGGGTTTTTAAAGGAGGACCTCATGGCTGATCTTGTTGAACACTATACTGAAATCGATAAATATCACGTCAACGGACTTCTCCTTGCTTATTGCCTTCAAGCACTCATGTCTCGTCACAAGCACACTTAACACTTTGACACTCAATACCAGCCTTTCGAGGACTCAATGAAGTCAAAGGAGATGCTTGTTATTGATATCATGGGCGCATTGACCAAGGCCCCTCAGCAGAAAAGATATGTGCCAGCTACTAAGTACTTCTAAAACAAATGGCCGGAGGCTGCTTTGTGTGCGCATTTCACTAACTCCGCTAACTGACTTCGATTCTTTTTCCTCAAGTTTTAGTTACCAGAAGAAATGGTCACTAAAATGGGTCGCAGATTTGACGCAATGATTACACCTAGATCCTAAGACGCAATGGTATCAGACACTAAAAAATGGCGTCGCGTAAACCTGCCTCTAATTGTCTAGTGGAACGTAGCAACCGACTTCACAAGATTCTTTACAAGTTCTTCAGATTTCGGGCGCAACTTGAATTGATGAGTTGGTGTCTGATTAGTGATTTTAGGCGCCATCAGATTTTTCTGTCTGCCCAATCATATAAACCTGTACATCCCCTGTATAAACATTGTTCTTCACCCAATTTGCCTAGTTACACGAGTTTCCGAACTCATTCTTCCATTGTCTGAATGTTGCCTTATTCCCGTCAGCGGCATATCACCACGGTATGTGAAGCGTTCTATCCCGTCTGCCTTTCTACGGTGTCCCGTTTCTCTGATTACCCCCCATCAATTCAAGTACTTTCGGCTTCCAATGACTTTGACAACACCCCCTCAATTGTGCGCCCATGCATGTGTTGCGCTTTGGTTACTTGACAGTCGAAACGAAATTGCTTTCATCCGACTTGAGCCCCTTGGTGGGTGCTCATATGTTCTATTTCGTTAACTTGCATGGAATCACTGTAAAGCAGTACTTTGATCATTACGCCTATGCTGAGATCACTTGAGTTATCTTATTTCACAGACCGTTCTGAGGATAGGGCGCGGTGTTGGTATATGTACCGAAGTGCCGGTTGAGGAATTTGCGTTGTGGAATCGTTAACGTATTGCTTTTACATGCTCATTTTGTTCAACGGCACAGTTATCTCGATATTTTATTTCAGTTTTCATTGTATTTCGGGTGGTAGATTCGTTGCTTGATGCTCATGAGCTTTTGATGCCTGTGTGTTAACAACCACACCCAATAATACAACCTGGAATACCCTGTTCGTGTTTATGCCTGAAATACCAATGCGAACTCGGTTGAATGTATTCATCACACCAGAAACAAGCACCCACCAAGCAGGATATGAATGGAGAGTTTTGCAAACCAATCTTTATACAGACGAACTTGGAAAACCTACGCTAGGAGACATAAGTTTGTGTGGGGCAACCTATTTCCCGGATGGAGACAGGACAAGCGGACTATCGATCTGTATAGAATCATTTCCCAACCCAGTGACCTGCAAACTGAGAGATGGAACGACAGCCTAGGATTGGCTGTTGTTACTTTTCTGTACACATATAGAGCTACACTGATTCGCAGTTACATTGAGAATAAACTGTTTATTGTCTATTGCAGATTAGTAATGTCACTATGCCACCACTTAAATGCAGGCAACACAAAGTGTTATCTTTATTAAAACGAAGAGTTCATATTAAAATTGCTAACGCGATACCAAAAATCATTGTTTGAACAGCCACTGTTATATTTCAAGAAGCTATTACTATGCATTTTTCTTCGTTGTGTGTTTGCTTGTCTGTCAGTATAAACTAAGCTCCTTACCAATCTGAGTATATAGTCTGACAGCCGTGCTGAATAAACACAGTGCAGTTTGGGATACCACGCATCAAATAAATTTGGTTAATATGCATCCATTCCATGAATAATAGCTCTTAACTAAAGGAGTATTATCTTTAGCAAACCTTTGATGACTCCGCCACTAGCCGCGTCCAATGCAACTAAGCTAAACGTGACACCAGCTTCATATATAAAACAGCAGTTAGTTATGTCTTGCCCAAGTTCGTAACACGGTCAGTGTGCACACCGTCGCGTATTACATCAACCAACCGCAAAAGGCGCGACGTCATTTCACCTACATACATTGCACGATTAGGGATGACGCCAGTTAGTTGGATTGGCCATTTTACCGCTTCCATATATGTCCAAATATGCGACACTGTTCTGTTGATCCGTTAAGAATGCAAGATTCCTTGACGCGCCAAACAGCGGCAGCCCTCGCGATGGACCTCGCGTCTGACGATCACATCAGGCATCAGTTTATGACTACTAGATACTGATAGGCGACAAAGGACATCTGGTCGCCAGTAACGAAGACCAAATTGACACTGAAGAACATAAGCTTTCATCTCTACAGTTCGACTTCAAATGCATATAATACTGGAATGTGCATGGCATATCTACCTGGTTCTTCTAGCTGAGCGATTTATTGCAGACCTTTCGTCAGGGATCAAGGTGGCATTCCCGGTGCGCAATAGTAAGTAACCTGTTAGCGTCAAACAAACATTAAGCAATGCAAGAGATGGATACCATCAACTACGGCTCGGTTCTTTGTACATATTTACAACGTTCGTACCCAGAGTTCGTTCAGTTTGGTTTTCTCTATAGGCCCGCTGCTAAACACCAGGGAACTCAGTTTGCTAGTCATTAGGTTGCTGAAACGTGGGTTGGTTGTTTG